GGGAAAATGGGGAGCTGAGGGAGAGGAGCAATCGTTCTGCCCAGGAGAGATGCTGATTCGGGGAAAAGGAGCGGCAGCGATTGCCCCTGCACCCGGTCAGTCCTCGGATCCAGGCGTGGTTCTGCCCTCACCCCGTCCCCCCCGTGCACCCTTCTGTCCCTCCATGTGCCCGTCTGTACACCTGCCCGTGTATCCTATCACCATCTCCACCCACCCACCCCTACACCTCATTCCCTTCTCCCAAACTCCCCCCACCCCTCTCCCCATGCCCGCTCCCCGTGTGCCCGCTGCCTCGGGCAGGGAGCTGTGCCAGGGGCTGGGCTCTCCCGTGGCCCCCAGGCTGGGGGACGTTGCCCCTTCCCCCCTGCTTTGCTAGCTGCCCTCCTGGCCAAGCCAGGGGTGAGGGGCAGAGCCCTGGCTCCACCAGAACTCGGTGCCTGGGTGCCCTGTGGGTGCAGGGGTGGGTGACAGCCGGTGCCACAGACCCTTTTACCCACGTCCTGGGTGAAACCTCCAGCCTGGGCGATTTACAGCGTGGAGTCTAATTGATGGAGACTGGTCCTGCGCAGCGTAATAAACCACCGGAGCAATAATACACTTCAGGATGGACTCCAAGGCACTTAAACTGTTTAATGTGCTGCCTTTCTACTCATAAATCTATTTGCACGCTGTCCCCAGACCTGGGGAGAGCAGCCACCAGCCCGGGAGCCGGGATGAATAATGGATGGAGCAGCCCTCCAGCCCCAGCTCATCTCCCCTCGCCGCTCACAGCCCCACTGGGTTCCTTCCCGAGTTATTTTGTGTTTGTGCCTGAGCTTTGTTTCTGAGGGAGCTCTCAGTTACCTGCTGAGATTGGGGAGTATGATTACGGTGTCAGGGCTGTAAAGCTGTTACATAAATCAAAGCTTACATAGCAGGATGTGCTATCTGTTCCTGTAAATAATTTAACGTGAAGGAGGGCTGGGGAGCTGCTTCTTCCCAAGCTACCTGTGGCCTGGTGGTGGTTGCTCTTGTGTGTGCCACGGAGGGAAGGTGGCCTGGACCTGGTGTAGATGTGGCTGTGAAGGTGTCAGGGGCACTTCTGGAGGGTGATAGGAGAGTGTGGATGGGTGTTGTCATCCTCAAGCCCTTCTGTGGTGGTGCAGGTTGACTGCTCATCCTCAGCCCAGAGAGGAGGATCTCATCACTCAGGGGAGCATAGAAATAATAATAATGCTGGCATGGTGGCCTTGGGGGCTGTGTATGGGTTGAGGGACATGCAGGGAGCTGAAGGGCCACCCCTGCTGCCAGCAATGCCCAGTGGGAGAGGCTCAACCTCACCTGCTACATAAACCTTTCTTAGGAGCCCACCATCCACATCTGCTTGAGGACCCACCAGCAGCCAAGTCAGTGGGACTGAGCCTCAGGGATCCTGGTCACCCACAGCCAGGACTCTTGGCTGGCCAAGATGGGGTGCCACCAGCTGTGGTGGCCTTGGAGAACGTGTCCCCTTCATCCCATGCTTGAGGCTGTGCCAAGGGAGGAGCTCCTGGCCACAGAAGCAGAGCTAGCAGAGCCTTGGCGTGGAGCCCAGGCAGACCTCAGCCTCTCTCTTCCTGACACCTTGCTGCAAATCCGGGAAGTTTCCCTGAACAAGCATGTGCTTTGTTGGAAAAGCCAATCTGCAGTCACTCCATCATCAGGACAGCCCTGATGTGCTGGGCTCTTTTGTTGTCATAGTTTCAACCCCCTCAGTTGCAAAGCAAGTGGTCCCCAGAAGAAGATGCTGGGGGGATTTATGGTAATTCAGGCAGCAGCCCATCACATTTATTGTGATAAATGGCACAATATCCAGAGCACTCCTTTGCTGGAGGATTCACCCAGGAGCTCATCTTTATTCAGATGCTGCCCCATCAGAGATGAGATTGTCTTTTCAGATGTGCTGAGCTGGTATCTCTGAGAGGAAGATGGGAACAAACCCTCCTGCACTGCACTTCCCTCCTGTGCCCAGGGAGTGAGAACCTCCCGAGGAGACCAGGTCCCAGGCTCTGCCTCCTCCACCAGCCCCAGGGGCCATGGGCACCTTGTGGTGGGCTTCCAGAGCTGAAACATGGAGCTCTCAGAGAATTCAGACTCTGCTCGTGGGTTTGGAAATCCAAAGTTCCTGCAGCTGAATGACCAAGGGTGCCCAGGTCTTTGGCCTGAGCTCAACCACAGGCAGTGCAGCCCTGGCATCCTTTTAGCTCCTTAATTGGCTCAGAGCAGGCAGTCCTAAGTGGCCCACACAGGGTGTATTTGTTGTCTAGCAAATTGAAATCATGGCATTTGCATAAGTGGGAATTAAGAGAGAAAGAGCAGGAAGGTGAGGGTAAGGACTCAGATGGACTCCAGGAAGCTCTTCCTGGGGTTAGTGGGAGGGACAGGGATGAGGCACCACTGGGTACCTGCAGATGAGCATGGAGCTGGTCTGTGCCTGCTGCCTGTGCCCTCTGGGCGTGGCTGGAGGAGATTTGGGGGCAAATATCTGGGATGAACAATTTTCAGTCTCTGTGAATCACCCATGGGTGCCTCGAGCTCAAGTGCAATAACAGGGTGCAGTTGGGTGTGGAGGCCAAAGCAGCTGAAGGTGCTTGCAGAGGTGGATGAAGGAGATGGACTGTGGGGAGATACGTCTTAAAGTCATGGGGTGTGCGGGTCCACACCTCTGAGCAGGGACCTTGGGGAGGAGAAGACATCTCTGCTCCTGGGGCTGTAACAGGGGGTGTGCTGGGCAATATTCTGCTCCTCTGGCGTCTCCTCTGGGCAGCGTCCTGCCAGGATCTGTGGTGTGTCTGTGGGAGGGTTGCAGCTCCTCATCCTCCCTTCCTTCTCCCCCAGGTCTCCAGCAGCTGTGACTACGTCTTTGTCAGTGGGAAGGAGTCACAGGGCTCCATGAGTGCCCGGGTCACCTTCACCTACGAGCACCTCTCTGCCCCGCTGGAGATGACAGTGTGGGTGCCCAAACTGCCCCTGCACATCGAGCTCTCCGACGTCCGGTTGAGCCAAGTGAAGGGCTGGAGGGTGCCCATCCTGCCAGACAGGAGGTGGGTGCTGGGAAGGCATTGTGCTTGGGGTCTGTCCAGCTTGGAGAAGGCAAGGTGAAGGTGGTGGTGGTCTAATTGTGTTGTTCGGCTATTTAATGAGGGAGTTTTAAGGATGGTGAAGCCAGAATCATCTCAGGGGTCCTCAATGGAAAGGTGAGAGGTCATGGGCACAGATTTGCACATTGGGAAAGGGAAGGACAAAAAATTTCACAGTGAGGTTGGTCCAATGTTTGAGCTGGTGGGGAACGTCCATCTGTGGCGATGGTCAAAACTTCCCTGGATGAGACCAAGAGCCTTGCTTTGAGGTCTAGAGACCTTGAGGTGTCCATCCCAACCTGAAACACCCCATCTTCTCAGTCGGTTAGGGTCAGAGGTGCTGGCAAACCTATTTGCTGCTAAAGCCCTCAGAGACCTCATGGCCAACAGGCATCTTTTGACCTGGAGCCACCATTTTTTTTGGGTAACCTTGCACTCCTCCCTGCCTGGTCACACTTCTCCTGTCCTGGGAGGGCTGAAGAGCCGTGGCAACGAGGAGCTCGGTAGCACTGCCCACCCCCTGCCCCCTCCCACAGGTCTGTACGGGACAGTGAGCACGAGGAGGATGAAGAGGAGAGGAAGCAGAGCAGGGGCTGTGCCCTGCAGTACCAGCACGCCACGCTGCAGGTCTTCACCCAATTCCACACCACGGCTGCCGAGGGCACGGGGCAGGTGGTCACCATGCTGGGGCCTGACTGGCTGGTGGAGGTCACCGACCTGGTCAGCGACTTCATGCGGGTGGACGACCCGCGGGTGGCCCACATGGTGGACAGCTCCACGCTGGCTGGCAGGGAGCCAGGCACCACGCTCTTCAAGGTACCCCCCTGGCTGCCTTTCCCCACGCCTGCCGCTTTGGCTGGGGGGTGGCAGGTGGTGACAGCCACCCTGGTCCCCTCCAGGTCGTGTCCCCGCTTGTGGAGGCGGTGCTGGGCGAGACGCTGGTGACCGTGGCCGAGGAGAAGGTGAGCATCACGGACCTGAAGGCCCAGGTGGTCTCCAGCCTCTCGCTGTCCCTCCACCCCAGCCCTGGCAACAGCCACACCATCATTGCCCGCACGTCCGTGCAGCAGACCCTCAGCTTCTTCAAGCAGGTGAGGCCAGGGGTTGCCTTCAGGTTTGGGGGGAACGTGGGGTAGGGTGAGGGCTCCATCTGCCAACCCCGCTTCCCAAATCCTGCCCGAGGTTATCCCGCAGCCCCCAGAGCACCTGCTGTCCTCCAGACACCCTGGTAACCCCAGAGCCCCCCAGAAACCTTCACACAGACCTGTGAACCAACCCTGCCCAGGCTGGGGATGGGACACGAGCATGGGGACAAAAGGATCTGGAGGAAATGCCACAGAGTTCCCAGCCCAACTCTGCTAGTCACATCTGGCACCTCTGGGGCTGGCATTTGGGGTGAGCCTGGGAAGCACGGGGAGCACTGAGGGAAGAAGAGGCACAAGGGAAAAATGAGGTGATGGTTGGAAGGAATGAGATGGATGTTGAAGGGAGGAGGGCTGGCTGGAGGGATGGGCAGACGGGCGTGGGTGGGACTGGCATCGTGCTGGGCAACCGGTGCCTGTGTTGGTCCCACAGGAAGCGCTCCTGAGCCTGTGGATTTCCTACAGCGATGGCACCACGGCTCCACTCTCCCTCTATGACCCCAAGGACTACAACCTGGTGGTGAGCAGCCTGGATGAGAAGGTGGTCTCGGTGACCCAGGATCGGGCGTTCCCCTTGGTGGTGGCGCAGAGCGAGGGCGCGGGGGAGCTGCTGAGGGCAGAGCTGGGCATCTGCGAGAGCTGCCAGAAGACCAAGCGCAAGAGCGTGCTCTTCACAGCCCTGGCCAGCGTCAGGGTCCACTTTGGCTCCGAGGAGGACCCGACCTACGACTACGACCACGTGCCCAGCAAGCCAGGGCTGGTGGAGACGGGGGCGAGCACCACCCTGCGGGCAGAGGTGGAGAGGAAAGCGGAGCCCAGCGAGGACGGTAGGATGTCCAGCGCCTCTCACCCGACTGAGGACTTCCCCACCATCCCCACTGGCTTCGTCCAGGTGACTAGAGGGCTGACGGACCTTGAGATAGGCATGTACGCTCTGCTGGGTGTCTTCTGCTTGGCCATCTTGGTCTTCCTCATCAACTGCATCGTCTTTGTGCTGAAATACAGACACAAACGCATCCCCCCTGAAGGCCAGACCAACATGGACCATTCCCATCACTGGGTCTTCTTGGGCAACGGGCAACCCTTGCGGGCTCACAGTGACCTCTCCCCCCAGCCCGAGAGCCCTGGGAACCCCCTGGAAAACGTCCAGACCTGCTGCCACGGGGATCATCACAGCAGTGGGAGCTCACAGACCAGCGTGCAGAGCCAGGTCCACGGCCGGGGGGACGGTTCTTCGGGGGGCTCCACACGGGACCAGAGCGAGGACCCCCTCAACTCCCCCACCTCCAAAAGGAAGCGGGTGAAGTTCACCACCTTCGCCACGCTGCCCACCGACGACCTGGCCTACAACTCCATCCCCATCGCCGATGAGGAGGACTTGGAGTGGGTGTGCCAGGACATGGGGCTGCAGGACCCCGAAGAGCTTCACGACTACATCCGCAGAATCAAAGAGATGGCTTAACGCAGGGGCAGAGGGGCTGGGGCT